GAGAGACGCAATAGACCCGCCTATTTTAAGTTGGTGTATCTCTTCTGCTGGTTGAAGCAAGGGACACTCAAATGAGGGTGAAACTCCTCCGTGTTATTTAACCAGCGTTCCAAATCTCAATTTCGTAACTAAAATATTTGTTTCAGATGCTTTTTTTTGTTGGATTGATTCTGTGCGAGACGGCGTATTGATTCCATTTCGGAAATGCCCACGACCACGCTGTATGTAATTTTTTAAAATAATATCACATAATGTTTCCAACTGAGTCAAACATAAGACCTAAAAAGATATGCTAAGTAAATATTTTAATAATTGTACTTCACAAAACATAAGTAGACATTTGCTCTAGCATTAATCTCAAAATTCGGCAGTTACTGTAACAGAAAACGTCTTCAGCAATTACAGATAAATCAGTCTTTCGACGTTTCTATATTGTGCAGAGATGTTTAATATTAAGTGAAAGTTAACAGCCTAAACAGATAATGGCTTCTATCTGTAATTGTCACAATTCCAACAACTTCCGGTTAACAATCCAGCAAATAACTAATTTTTAGAATATTTGTTACGTAGGATTTAAGGTTTTCACTGCGATGTGATTTCAGATAGTGGTCGTCTGTGTTAATCTGCTTCCATTTTAGGGTTGAAGATCTAGGCAACATGTTTCTCCACGATCCGTAACCGAGGTTGGATGACCGCATATTCAAAATACACCTCGGAGAAAACACAATTAAGTTGCTGTCCATTGGTATTTTAAAGGTCTGTGGGAATATTTGAATAATAATATTGAATTTATGTTGGGAATTGTCTATTGTCTAGAAGAACATAGGGTCACATACGACGTTTCGGGAGTTCGTTTTAAAATTTTGTGGAATACTCATCATAATCAGATGACAACCGTACAGCGAAATAAGAATATTCTAATGTCTGTGTATTTTATTTCACCTGTTACCATTGATTTAGAAAATAAAACATCGGAAAATAAATGTCGTTAGACTCTACACTGACAGCCAGTTATCTGAAGACGTCAGTAGAGCTAATGTCGTGTAGATATGAAGTACATTTCATGAAATTAACAATGCGATGTATTTCTTATCGAAATTTTGTTTTTATTAAAAGTTTATATAAGAGCGAAAGCTGAAATTTTACAAATATTTTGATTCATATTTGTAAATATTACAATTTACATAGTGATTAAAATTTCATCATGCAAGATGCCGGGGCAAATGTCTGCTTTTTATTTTCGTTGTAAATAACTTATGGATATAAATGTGTTCTTTCTGGTATAACAACGATGTGAATAAGACGAATAAAGTCATGACTGTGTTATCATGTAAATATTAGGGTGCATGCGCACGTATTTTGAGTCCAGAAAAAATAAACACGAAACACATTATGCAATTTATAGATTTTGAGCGTAATAAGATTAAATAAGTCTAGTCTCCTTTTTTGCTATAATATGTTTAATTGTGTAAATGTACACTGGTAATGTATTAAAGATGTGTGTAATCAAATTTTTAAAGTTGTTGAGTTCATTGTCAGGCTCGTACTTCGTTCACAATGAATAAAAAACATTCTGTGAAGAACGGAAAGTTTGATTTATAATGAACCGACGGTTACAGTGTCAGAGTTTGTAATTCTTAGAGCCACTTATCACAGCTTTTACACCAATAATGATGTAGCCTATGTGTAAGTTTATTCTACAGTATTCGTGAACAAAGTATAAACAGAAATCATATAACCCAAACAAAATATCATTACAATACTCCGCACACCGTTGTCAAACAATTTTAGAATGATGTTTAAACTAAATTGAGCTAAAATCAGCTAAAGTAAAGCTTTGTCCATGAATATATTAAGTAAATAAGGAAGAAAGCACAAATGACTTGTTAGCTTAGTAAAGAAATTAAGTCTGAAACAATGGAAGAGGTGTTAAAAACATCATAGCATATGAAAAGCCGTCGCTTCCAAAACGTCTATTTCATTATTTTCCTTCGTCTCGTTGTCTCGTTCAAGAACAACGAAATTTACTGTGTTGGTATTCGCCTTTAAATTGCACTTTGATTTGGGTGTTAAAAAAATACGCAAGGTTTTACGTGTTGTAGGTTTACTTGTAGAAAGAATAACTTTTATACATTTGTTAAGGGTGTACAAAAATAAAATAATTCAAGATTGCAACTAAACTTGATGACACTTATAACCGTTTAGAGCCCAGCAGTAACTGTTACAATCATCTGCTTTAAAATTAAACAATTGCGTTTCGCCTACGGAGTGTATTCATGCGTCTTGTATGATTCTCAGAATAAACAGTGATTATTTCTTTAAACAACATTAATCAGCCTAATGTTGCGTAGTGTTTTTTTACAGTTAATTGAATTTGTTCGTTGATGAACTTTGTGCTTCAAAGGGTTACATCCGATTTCTTCTTGTATGCCATACATACCTTCCCAAAGTCCATATAAGGAATGCAAAATGTTTATATTTCTCCGTCTTTCAGCAATTTTCGTGCGCATCTCTTCGATAGATTTCTATTAGATTTGGTATTTGATGTCACTTTTTATTTTGGAGGCCCCGGATTCAAATTTCGTTTCAGAAATCATCAGACAATCGGACAATGTCTTAAAATGAGACACGACCACTTCCTTTCACGTGTTTCCATTTCGATAGTGACAATCACACTACATTCCAACGATATGTACTCTATGCAGTTGAAAAATCGTCATTTAATAACCTACTCCGTAAATTAGATTATTTGTAGACGATCCTTTAGAATCATAAAGACGTAACAAAATTAAGAGATTTTTGTGCCTTGTCAATGTCATGTTTGAGAAGCTAATATTTGGTTATCAAAAAAAAAAAAAAAAAATACCACCTGTCATGGAACCAGACGTTTTACTGCTTTTATGAGTCCGCAACTGATCTTATCCTGAGACATTTAATCCTCTCTTATTTACAACATTTTAATATTATCCTCCCGCCTAAGCTTAGGTCTCCCAAGTGGTGTCTTCCCGTTAAGTTATTCTCATAATATTTCGTGTTTTACAACAGTTTTAAAAATATTGATGCTGTCGGATATTTCTTATGAATTTCTGTAATTGCATATTCGACGCTAGTAAGATTTTTACGTATTCCTACTATTTCGTTCTTGTTACGAATTCACTAACGCGGTTCATACACTACATTCAGTATCTACCCAGTTTACGTGAGCATTTATTTAAAAAGGGGGAGGGTGCGAGATATTCAGCCCCCCTCCAAAAAAAAAGCCCCAGTGATGGAGTTTTGGTGTAGAGCAAAAGGACTTTTAAGGGTTGGGAAAGTGGAAAGTATCAATCATGGCGTCTGAGCTTGCGCGTTAGAGTCCATCTCGAGAAAGAGGAACTTGGTGGTCGAGGGCGGGGGACGTCACTGCTGGTACAATGGTTCCCCTGGGAGATCGTGAAGCTAGGCTACTTTCCTGATGGAGCTATCTATCTGTTGCACTCTTCCTTTGCTTTTCTCACTCTCGTGTTAGAGCGATGGCCCTCCTCTCCTGCCTGTGCACATTGATTTATTTCCCCAAACCTCACACCGTCTTCCATCACTTCTGATGGTATCCGTTGATCAAAATCCTTCACAGGATTTATCTCTCTAGAATTAAAAATCTCTATAGGTATGTATAAAATGCTAAGGTACTTATCACATATTTAACCTTCAGAAGTGGAAACTCGTCTAAATATTTATTAATTCAGTCCGTACCTCTAAGAAAACACAACACAGCTCTGAAACGTTGGTCATTATCTACGAGATTGCACGACACAACATCCCAAAAGAATTTTTTTTTTGGGGGGGGGGGGGAGAGATATAACTCTCCCACCAGAATTGTTAGAATGTTACCTGTTTCTGTATTCAGTTTGTTCTGTGCAATATTTTCAATTTTGAAATAAACGCAGCTGTCAGTGGCAGATTCATTTACTACGAACTGTCTGTATTTGGAATGTCACCATTTACGCCGCTGTGTAGGGCTTCTAAACCCTTACTTAAGATAAGTTGTAGGATTCCGCTCCAGGATGAGACAATCGCAAATCTTATGCCAGCACAGAAAGTTGGACCCGAATTTTTATCCCAATGTTTGTTTGATCTAAGATCTCAAGACAACTGGACTCGCCTTCATTTATCAATCCCTAAATTAATTCTGCATTTAAGATACTTTTTACTTTAAAGTATGTGCATGTGAGTTTTGTTCAATGATTGTGGTCTTTTGGTTTGTGACACCATGCAGTCTTATAGGTGGGAACCCTGAAATGGTGGTGATTCATTAAACCAAAACGTGACACGACTCGCTGTAACTAGTATATGGCTTCACAACCCAGAAGACTAAAGGCAACAAAATTTTATTTAGTTTTCTACATTGGTCACATAAAATAGGGCAGTCACATGCAAACAAACTTCGAGGAAATTCGTATGTTCACTCCATTTATGAATAAATACAAATTGTTCTCCTTACTGGATTAAATTGCTCTTGCAAAGCCTTTGAAGACAGCAAAGAAACTGAAAATTGCTGTCATCTGGGTTATGTTAGTCTGGTAGATTTGAAGCATAGTAGAGCTTGTGAGCCCTCTGGTGGACGTGATGAGAACTTACGAGAAAGATTTGTTCACAGATGAAACCGTAGACAAATCGTAAACTGTGACAATCGATTTACGACGTATTAATGACCCGTGATACAGTTCGTTTTGGATCGGGCGGTGTTATGTCGCCTTTGTAAGTGGTTGTTGTCATGTGTTCAACGTAATAAATGGAGCAAAGAACCGTCAGTTTGGTGAAAATATCACCAACACTCGCCATAACAGATTGCCATATTGCAATTATTTCACAGAAACTTTGCCATTTGTGTTTAATATCTAGTGACAAATATGCAAATGTGTATTCTATTTCAAGTAAAACAGAAAATGGACCATGTCTAACACTCATCTGGAAGAGCTCTTGGAAAGTTGACAGGTAACTAAATAGCTATAATCCTTGGGCTCACCCGCCTTAGAAGAGTTCTTTTCTGAGGGTAAAATAGACACATAAAAGTATTCCAATAACAAAGTGCCACTTCCCAGAAATCCACATATGTAAATATTGCTGTTTTATCAATAAACATCTTTACTGATTAAACCTCACATAACGTTGTAACACCATGTGGACTTCTATGTAGGTAGTTACCAGTGTTTCGGAGGAACATACAGCCTCCGTCTTCCACATGGTGTCAACCCAGAAGACTAATGTCAACATCTGCAGTGTCATGAGAGCCCCAGGTCACATGAATACAATTTGTTTCGTGGGAGAGAATTTATGTTTTCTTCTTTCTCAGTTGCAAATTTTCAGAAGATGGACAACAGTTATTTGTCATATTGGAAACCAAATCTTTTCAAATTTACAATATACATGATACCACGCTGGACTTTCTAGCTGAGGAAGACACCATACTGTTATCAGCTTTGCTAGAAAGCACTGGAATTGGTAAGAAATTATTAGATAAACTGAATATATTTTCAATATATTGAATTTGAAGTGAAATTGAAGAGTATTTGTATCGTTTTGTAAATGTGAGTGACTTTTATTTTTAGTTAGACTGAAAATGTAATGTAGAATCTTTGCTCATACAATTTATTGCCCATATTATTGACAAACAAACAAGATACTGAGCCAGTAAAGCACATACTGCAATCACAGAATAGAACCTCATATTTTTTGTTGATAACAGTGAAAGGGATATTGATGAAGATGCTAATTTTAAGGGAATTTTATATTAAAGTATGTGAGATTTATAACAAAATTAATTAATCTTTTGCAGATATAACAGAGTCTACTGAACTGAAAACAGTGGTATTTTCTAAATCACAACTAACAGTTCTGGTTGAAAATAAGTGGCTTGTAAGTTTCTGGATTCAGTACCCCACGCCGCTTTCCGTCACAAGCATTATCGAGGTCTCATCATGCAAAGCAGTTGGAAGTTCTAGTGAATATGTTTATTCTCTGACAGCTGGAGGAAATGTCAGTATCCTTTGATTTTGAAAGGTTGAATGATTGTTATGCACTTTCATGCTGAAGTGTGGAGTGTTTTTGATATTGAGTTTGACATGATATTATATTGTGTTCTATTTACCTTTAATAAATTAGTTCTTCTGCTTTTGATAGAAAACTTTAATTGATTAAATGCGGTAGTTAGGTTATGTATTGTCAAGGTGATTGAATACAGAAGCATGAGATTAGTAAAACATTTTCCAGGCATGGTGGAGACAATAAATCTAACAAAATTTTGGTTGTGAAACCAAAAATGAAAAAGTTATTTGAATGAACTACGAATAGACAGGAGGAATGGGGGTAAAGTGTGGTCTGGATTAAATTAACTCTGGATGGGGTATAGTGGTGGATTTCTGTGAAGATAGTCCAGACCCTCTTAAGTTTCAGAATGGGATTTCTTGATCACGTAAGTAAATATGAGCATTTAACTCTTTTATGAGTACAAATGTAATGGAATGTTCAGCATCCAAGTTGCTGCATGTAGTGTGAACATGTTCATATGTTTTCTACTTTCTGTGTCCTGTAAATTTCATACATACAGCAGTTCTTTGATTTTCTAAGGACTATACCTGATATCTATATTACATGAAGTTATCAGTGTGGCTCTCTCTTTTTTAAGTTTTTGAAAGTGACATGATAGGATTTTTTTATTGAGAAGAAAGAAATTCACTCTGGTTATGTTTTAGGCTTTTTAAACACCTTTCCTAAAATATTCTGTTCAATCGTGTTTTTAACATGTCATTAAATGAAAGAATGGAACTTCTTTAACTTTCTAACAGCAGCATATTCTGTCAGGAGTGGGAGGCAGATTGGAGTAGTAAATCTGTACTCTCTGTTACCACATGGTCAAGGCTCCGAGGTCCTTGAAACATTTTCTGCCATGACAGTGTCTACAAACGGAGACTTCATTGCAGTGTCTGATATAACCGGCAAAGTTTTTATCGCTAGGGTTCAGGAATATTTCAGCACTGATCTTCAAGAGGAAAGGTGAAATATGCGTGTTTTAAAACATAAATTTTAGCAGAGCCCATGTATAATCTTTAGATTAGAATATTTGCCTTGTTAATCTTACTCTTATCAAATTTTGGACTAGCAATATGTTCTGATGCTAAGTTGTTTGATCTTCCACTGCCTGTTTGATAATTTATATTTTTTATTCTCAAAACAAATTTTATTAGCAACTGACTGACCTAATTTGCTGTAACCTCTGACCAATCACACGTCATGATGCTTGAAAGATCACAATATTAAAATTCCACGTGTTGGTTTCTCTGAAATGTTGGTAGTCATTTTTAAATACATTTTGAAGTATTCATGTGTCACTTCAGTTGTATGATTTACCATAGACATTTGTTTTAATGTTTGATTCATGTAATGTTATGTCATGAGTAATGAGGAAACAATTTGAGAACCGAATTGTAAAGTTCTAGGTGGAACTGTGGAGACAGCGTTATCTCGGCAAGTTCTGGAACATCTCGTACTTCTGTTAGAACAATCAGTAGCCTGCTACGAATCCAACCATCAAGTTCAGTGTATGTGTATATCTTTAATTATTTTCAAGAATGTAATAGCAAATATGTAATGTTCATGCCGTCACAAGAAAACATCCTTTGAATTGATAAATTGAGACTCTGATGCTGTCTAGCAGCTAAAATTGTAATTGATGTGTTAGAAAACCTTTCAGCTTCAGTTAGATTCTCAGAAATACAAGTTTTCTTGTCAGGGTGGAAATTGTCTGTGCTCTTAACTTAAGGGTGCTAACAAAATGTATAACATTTTAGCTGTATGTCAGGGGAAATTGTGTTATTATCTTACATGAAACTTCAAAAAAAGTCTCATAACTATTTGGGTACTTCTGAAATAAAGTAAGTTTTGAAATGTGTGGTTCTTACGGCAGTGAAGATTTTGATGGTGGTCTTCTGGATTTTGACACTGTGTGGACCTGTAGATGGGTACCAGTGTTCCAGAGGTATATACTTATGCGTATATCTTCAAGCCTGAAGTGTTACCAACTTACAGGTCCGTGTGGTGTCGCAATCTGGAAGACAGCCATCAACTTTTAATGTCATGTACAATGTGTGCTCTTTATCAGTAATGTTGCATTACATTTATTTTTTGACAGGGGAGACAGTTCTTCCATATATATGTTTGAATTAACAGAGAAGGATAAAGTTCATTCCTACAAAATGACGTGGGATACCTATTTGCATTCACTGAAGCAAAATGAGTGTACAGAAAGTGTAACAGGTATGGTAATACTTTTTCATGTGTCACATTTACATCCAAGGAAACTTTATATTCTAGTGATGAAAATATGGATTTACGTCTTGAATTTAAGATCATCTTTGTCCAGTTCATATCATTACAAGGCAGATTTATATATAAAAAAATGAATAAGGAATATGGTTGGAGCTCATGTATTTGTATAAATCTGTTTCATTTGCACTGTACATATGCTGATTAACACTAGCTCTGTTATTTATGAAAAATCTGAAAGTTCAGCTGCATGGTAGTAGGTCAGAAAAAATTACTGTCTTGGTGTTGGTAACAGCCTACAAGACCATGTGACAAAATAAGAAAGAAGACTACAAATTTCACCATTGTAAGAATTTCATATCTCAAATGACTAAAGAAGCCATATCTGAGGTAGGGCACCTATGCAGATTCGAAGACATTAACGAGTTTTGCTTTTCTCAGAGATGAAGAAAGGGAAAGATACACAGAAAAGTATTGGCACATCCAAAATCTACATTTACAACATTTGTTTCCTGAAATATGTTGCATTCCTTCAAGTAATGTGCAAATCATTGTTTTGGAATCACTGATGTATTCTGATTTTTATGTTCATATTTCCAGATGTTGCACGTATAGAAGTAATAGTACTAAAATATAGCATGACCACTTAAACCATTATTATTGTGATCAGGTGTGTAAATTCAGAGCAGAAGTCATACGTTTGAGAGATCTTTCCCATCTCCATCATTAGGGAATGATGTGACTGATCACATGAGAGGATTGTAACACTTTTAGTCACTGTGAAAGCTTTGATTCTTACTTACTGTCATCCTTTCAGGGAGAAATAGAGGACACAAATCACAAAACATTAGAAGAGTTAATGAATCTGGATTACTTTGTGTGTCTGAGCCACCAGTTGGATTCGGTGTACAGGAGCTGCATATGACAGCTGCAGGATTGGCAGTTTGGTACACAGCAAGTGGATCATCTTTCGGTGGGGTGTATCGTCTTTATGATGTGGCATCAGGAGCCTTTCTTGCTGAACAGGTTGTACCCACTGACACAGTCGTGATTCCAGGTGGCTGCTTAGGGTTAATGGATGCCTTCCTCTCTCCCAGCTGTTTATGGTTGTTTCTAGGTAACCTGTCCAGAGATGTACTTATGAACAAGGTAACTATTTATTTTTCTCTTTACTGTACCTAATTTGTTTGTTTGTAGGTATTAACAAAACAATATTATTAAAGACTTTTTAAGCATATTCTTCTTCTTGAGATAGTTTGCATTCTTTGCATGAGATCCACCTGTATTTCCAATTATGTTTATTTTTATACTCCACATTGCAAATTTATCTCAGTTCTTTCCAGCTATTTAATTGATATGTGTTCATTATATATTTTTTTATTTGACAAATCATTTGTGTCCTTGATTTAGCTATTACACTGTGTGGAAACAGAGTCAGTTGGCCGATTACTGCGAGGAGGGGAATGGGGTGATTTGATTGTTCCCCTTCCTGCATTAGCTGATGGTCTTAGGCAGCACCAGATGGACGTGGTTCGATTGGCACTGAGTTTGCATTCTCAAGGTTTGGTTTAACCCACTGTTTCATGACGTTTCTTACAATATTTTAATCTTCACTGATATTTTTATATTTTTACAATTTCATTAATGTTCAAAGTATGTACAGGACAACATATGTGTCAGTATAAATTATTTTGTCTTTGGTTGCATGTGTTTGGTGTAAGATGGAAATGGGTGAACCATGTGGCCATCGCTAACTAACTGTATGGAGCAGAGGCATTTTTGAGGAGCTTATAGTCTCTCAGCTAGTCAGTCAATTATCTAATTTATCACAGTCACTATGCACCTTGTGCATCTCTTAAAATTAAAACTTAGATACTTGCAATCACATCAGTTTCTTATGAATTTTACATGGCTCACAATATGTTTTATTTTTTCAGCTTTCAGGACCTCATTTGTAATTAATCCAGGTGATAGTGATGCCGTTTGGCAGACAAAAGTCCAAAACATCAGTTTGAATATGGATAAGCTCTTTGCTACTGTGTTTGATTCATTGCTTGAAAACAAGAACAAGCTGTCATTCTCTGAACAGGTTGTTTTACTTTATTTAAATCACGCAAATGACTTACTTCAGTTTTTGCACGAATATTTTGGCACAGAGTCTGCACTACATTCTGTTGCGTTACATGATACATTTGAAAAGAAGAAAAGTGTGTTGGTGAAGCAAATAATGTTGCATGTTGTGGAACTTCGGAGGTACTTGCGGAAACATTCCAGAGATAATGCTGTTGCAAGTGGCACGTATCAGCCGCTGGGCTGTCTTGGTGATGTCTTGAAGAAAGAATGGAGCAAATGGCAAGATATGGAAGACTGTGATGTCATTTGTGAAGCAGTGGCAAGCAATAACATCCCTCTTCTTCAGACGTTTCTATCTACGTGTCGTGGCTGGAGCTCTAGTAACTTGTTTCAGAGAATTAAACAGGAAGTGTATGTCTGGGTACAGCAACTTCTGAAGCAAGACATTGAGAAAGCAAAGCAGATTTTAGTTAATCTTGTAAGTAATTCTTAGGATGACTAAATTATGAAGTCAGATTTGTTTCTCATATGAGGGAAAACATGAAATGCATACTCTCTCTCTCTATTTTTTTTAATTATATTGGGCAGTTGCCATCTGGCCAGCCTAGGCATGGGTCAGAATATAATATTACAATTAATTTAGGGTCCAGGGGTGGACTAATTTGCAGAGTGTCTGATGACTTTATGTCAGTACTTAAAGATTCTGTTTCTGAGGTCTTTCCTGTGCAGAAGTGAACATGGATCTGATTCTTATTCTATGTTATATTTCTTCCATTGATTTCTATTCTGATCTGTTGGGAGAATAGCAATTGTTTCGGGCAGTTCGTTATTAAAAACTCGTGATTGTATTTTGTGTATTTATTATTTTGAGGTTAAATTACAAAAGTAGTGATATGGGTAGTGTTACTCTGTTTTATAAAAGTACATATTAACTTTGTTTGTACATTCTTTGAGTTGGTAATATTTTTCCAGAAGAAAGTTGCTGAAATGATGTGCATGAGATGGGTCAGGTCTGGTGACTA